CGCACTTGGGTGTGATATAATTAACACACATAAAAAAAAACTACAAACTCAGGCACAGTCGCCATCAGCTGACTTTATATCAGCTGAGTGGGGTCATTGTAACAAGACTCCTTTGTCTCACATTGGAGCAAACTGAAATGAAATCTGCCAAACAGGCCTAACACACAAACACAAAACACTCACACAACCATATCTACATAATTAACAAAAACAGCCTAGATGGGGAAAAAAATAAAAAATAAACTCAATTGCACATATGTGTACAAGCAAGAATGCACGCACACACATTGCTCCCACAAAAGACCTTTGTTTTTTGCGAGAAGCCCCGATTAGTGAGCAGACCACACATACAACTTCATTAAGATGGGCGGATTCAACAGTGCACACCAAGAAAGTAAGCAGACATGGCTTAGAACACCTGCCATACACCCCCATCTCCATCACGACAGGTGGACGCACCCCCACCCCCCCAAAAACAGCCAAACTAGCCCTAACAGCCAATCAGCCCATTCTCAGATGCATTAAATTAAATGATCGGAATTTGTGTTTCTGCTTCATCTTCCAGACAATTTTACCTTCAAACAGTATGTTACTACGGATGCAGTCCGTTTGTTTGTTACAGCTTGTTACAGAAACAAAAACTGGACTTGACACACTGATTCAGAACTCCTGCAGGTGAGATTCAAACAATATTCATAGCCTCCAGCAACATAATGGTATATTCACATCATCACTGAATTACCACACACACACAGCCAATAGAATCATTGCGGCAATGAGCACACACACGGATACATTTAACCAATGAAGGACGACTATCTGGGTGACACCTTTTCAGATGACCAGTTAGACCGTCGCTTCACTCAACGCCTGCCCCCCCCCCCCCCTCCTCCCTTCTTTATTTGCTCATGATTTGAGAGAAGGGTAATAATTATCGAGGATAACAGAGTCCAGAGGCGGAGTACCCTTTGCACCCTGACAACCGTGCCCTGGTCTCCCTTTGTCACTTCTTCTAGCTCACCCAATAAGTGAGAATATTTTCTTTCACTTCACCAATCGCTCTCTCCTCTGGCACAAAATGGCTTCGCTTCCCTGCCGCTTATCAACCCAACTCCCTTCACCCTTAATCTCTCGCATCGTGATTTTTTTTTTTTTTTTTTCACACTCCATTGTGACTTTGCCCTTTGAAAAACAGAACAATCATTTTCCTGCCCGGTTGCGTGTCCCAGTGATTCTCCTCCTCTTTTTTTTTTCTCACTTCGTCACCTTCAATAAAAATTCCTATCTTCTCCAGTTCAGTCCTTTCAATGTCCACTTACAGACCACTCCTCTCTATCTGTGTGCAGAACATTGCCTTCGTTTAAACTCCCTTCTGACTTCCTTCATCTACAACACCCCCCTCTCTCCCTCTCTGTGCACAAAACACCACCACCTTTTCCCTCCTTCCCCCTTGTATCTTCCTCTTCTGAGGCTTTAACCTAATTATCTCCTGTTCTAGAGAAACCGCTCCCTCGGTCTCAGCAGCCTGTGGGAAGCGGTGCATCCGTGAGGGACGGACAGCGTTTGTTCTCCCTTCGGCCGGTCGCCTCCGATCACGTCAGCGCGCACACGCACACACAGCAAGCCAGAGATGAGGAAAAGGAGTAAGACAGTGTGTGAGAAGCGGCGTACGTTGTACATGAAGCGACCGACTGAATGAATGAATGTAATTCAGATGCATGCTTTATTTGAAATAATCTGGAGAAGTGCTTTAGCCTTGTTACGTGGGCCACAACGGAAAAACAAAGCAAAATGCGAGAAGACTCTTCTCAAAGTAGCCTCTCAGCGGGAGTTTACGCCACACGAGTTGATGTCATTTTAAGGGGTACTCCAGCAAAATATTAAACAAAATAAAACAGAAGGCTAAGGTATTGATAGAACTTCTGAACACCTGCCTCTTACATTAACCATAATGCAACTTGGTAACATATTGTATTAGTGTTGTCTTATACAAACAATGCCCCAGTTGGTAACAGACACACTTGTTATAAATGTCTACTTAAAGTTGGAATAACCCTGATGACATCACCCGGGTCATTTCGTCCAACTTTGGAGCACTCTATGCTAGGCGTGTTTTTGCAGACACAGTATAAATCATGATGAGTAAGCTGAACTCAGCGTTTTTACCAAAAAGAATAACCAATTGAGTGTCGTTTTGAAAAAAAGGAAACCGCTATGTGGATAACCAACTTACAGAACAAGACCCTGAACCAGAAGACAACTAATACGGCATTAGAAAAGAAGGAAGGCCGCACGAAGGCCTCTAACCTCTTCCCCCAGGGTTCTGCTCAATGATATGAAAGTATTACAACATTAAATTATTTTTCTCACACACCGTGAACACTGCTTGAGAGGTCAGTTGGCCAACGAGAGAACCTTTGCACACGTTTAAGTACACAGACACCTTAGACAGATGGTCTCTCTCACTCTCTCACACACACACACCTTCTATGTACGATAGAGAGGTACGTTGTTCCCTTTGGTTACTGGCCTAAGTCTTAAACTCACTGAAATCGATCATACACAAGAACACAGACAACCAAATAGTTTGGCTTTAAACTCACTCTTCTTTGCCTTGTCATTGCTTTCTCTTCCTTGTGTGAACGTTGTTTTACATTTAGACTGTTCTGTTGCTTCACACCTTTACGACCCATTTGTCCAAACACAGCTATATTCCACTCTCGGTTCTCTTTCTCCATCACACGCACTCAAATTTGTTATAGCACAACTATAACCCACTCTCAGTTCACTTTATCTCTCTCACACAAACAGATTACAAACGTACCTGTGCTCACCTCAGATATATTATTAGTGCTTCGTCATGACTCACTGTCACTCAGTGATTGCATCACCTGAGGAAGCAGTGATGTGTGTTTCAAAGCAGTTCACTGTAATCTGACAAAATCATTTCAAAGCACATTGAACAGTACTTTCTCTTACCAAACTCATAAAATGGACGGAGTTTAAACACTTTCACAGGCACAACACTGCAGCTCGATATACAACAAACCTAAAACACACACGCGCGCGCGCACACACACACACACACACGGTCACTTGAACACACCCCAGATGTTCAAAGGAGAAAAGAAAAGAAAACTGCAGTAAGGGCTTCCTGCTCCTCTGATGCGGTTCCGGAAATAGCAGAGCACCTCTAAACAGGAACGCCAGGGCTTCCCTCGCAGGGCGCCGTCCACCACTTGAAAAGTAGCGTCTCTCTCTCCATAATATCAGAATTCTCTTTATGGGGGAATCAAACTCGACTCTTGGAGGAGTCAGCACAACAGCCTGAACTGTGCGCACGCAGCAGTGCCGTGCTCACGGCTAAAATGTCACGGTTTTTAGTTAAAGACATCTTCAACAGACATAATTCCCTGGTGTTTGGGCCTGGCAGAGGAAGGTTAGTTACTGCCACACCGTTTGGACTGAAGTGAGCGCATCAGTTTATATCTGGAGGAAAAGACTGCAGCTGACAAGCAAGCTTCAAAAACAAAAAACTTTTCTCACACACACACACACACACACACACACAGGCATGTTAGCGTGGTATGAATCATATGAAAAGACACAGGCTTTACAGTAAGATGGATTTGATAGTAGTCACATTATACAATGTGTATCTGTTGTAACAATGAATGTAAAGAAGCAACAACATTAATATTCGTTTACGTCACTCAAAGCTACACAACTGTGCGACATCCAACGGTGAAATTCAATCAATGAACTCAGCCGTGAAGGTATTGGCCCACTTTTATTCAATGAATTCACTGGGAGCATTTGTCGGCCATTGCTACCGCGATGACCATTAACGGCTGAGAAACGGGCTCGTCACGTGTCACGCGTCAGTTATCAGCTAAGACGCGCTCGCCCGTCTGTAACCTACGCGAGCGTTACTGTGCCATCGGAGAAAAGCGGAGAGCTTTAATGGAGCCGCTAGACGTAACGCTAAGTAACAACGGTGCACGGTGGACCCCCGCAGGGGTGAAAAGGGAGCACTGTGGTAGTGTTTTGGGAGCGCTACGTGGGACCGGTGCCTGGTTAGTAAGTGGGCCTCGACAGAACCTGCCACCGCCAAAGGGACGCGTGCTGCTCACGTGAAGGCAGCAGCCAATGGCAACTGATGGTGCCATAAATGAGTAGCTCTGTTTAGCTCATATTTGAGTTAAACAATATTAAAGTTGCAATCAGAAGGTGAGGGGGGGGGGTCGATTGATTTTTCAATTAAGATAACGTAAGAAAAATGCTATTCACTATTTCCTCAAGACCAAGCTGACGTAGACAGGAAATGATGTGAGAAAGGACTGATTCAGTTGCCCATTGAGAAGCTAGAGCCTCTCATGATAGACACCATTACTCAAAACACAGCAGTGTAGGATTTGGTGCCATCAAACAGTGAGGTTATGGACAAGAAAACTGGACAAATATTGGCTGTATGAAAAAACCTCCAATACATATATTAAGTGAATTTACAAGCAATAATAATCATACTACTACAAAAACAAGCCTGTTAGTGAGAAAATAAATCAAAAGTGACAACTTAAATTTGCCACACCTCAAATCCAAACCATTCAATTGAAGCTGAAAGCAACCATCGCTGTAAAAGACACTTCTAATGCTATTGGACCGGAATGAGGACGAGTTTATGGACACAGAGACGCTACAGAGTGGATCTACATGAACCATACAGCCATATAATATATGCATACAAAAGGTAGATCACAGCACCTTCTGTATTTTTCTTTCCATGCGATCCACCACCGAAACGAAACATCAGGTGTTCTTGGCCAGATGTTTAACCGGTTACTACAAAAACATGCATTTCCAGGAAAAAAAAAATATGACCCAAAGTGTAGGGTGGTCATCTAGATATCCAGTTTCCTGTGTGTGTGAGTGAGTGAATGAGAGAGAGAGAGACACCCGTCCACTCTATGGCTATTAGACTGTGCTTATTAGACACTTACTTCATCTGTTTGACGATGGTGCTTTTCCCTGACTCTCCGGCCCCTGAGGGACAAGAGACAAAAAGACAATGTAAACAGGGTGTGTGTTTGTGTGTGCGTTTGTTTGTGTGAGACAGAGCAAGATGGAGACAGAGTGGAAGGAAGAAGGGGTGGGAGAGCGAGAAAGAAAGGATTTCAAGAGGCTGATTCTCGCTAAGTGAACACAGACAGCAGCAGTTGGGTGGAGATGGGAAAAAAAAATTTAAAAAGGAGAAAGTGGCTGCACCCATTCTCCTTCAGCATCCTGTTTTATCCCCATCCCGTCTTCCAATTTCAGTCAGTCAACTAAACGACAAATGAAATAGTTTGCAGGCTGCTTCCCCTCCAAATAATGGCTCGTGCAATGACGTAACGTTGTTCTCCACCTTTTACCCACCTGGCACATCTTTGATGGATCAAACCGTATTACAGCAGGTGGCCTTAATTATGTAATGCGTTTTAAATTATCGGATGATATATATATATATATATATATATATATATTATATATATATATTATTTAATGATCTTTGAGCAAGCCACACCTTCGCGTGGACTCTTACCGAGCAGCAGCAGCTTGACGTCTTTGGCCGCGGTGACTCCGTCCTCTTTGAGGTTCTTCTCGATGGCTTTGCTCCGGTCCAGAGCCGCCCTCTCCTCTGCGCTCAGAGTACATCCCATGGTTAGAGAACACAGCTTGATAGCTTAACCGGTACCGGGACCCGCGGGAAAAAAAAACTACAACAAAATGGGGATTCAACAAGACTCGCGCGCGGGACCAAAGCTGGTTGCAAATCTCTTCCTTTTTTTGTTTTTTGTTTGTGTTCCTCCCGTCTCTCCTGCCGCGGTTGTGTTCCGTGTGTCTCTCAAACCAGGAGCACGGCGCCGTTAACGCGTTCAAACGAAGGATCCGCTCGGTTTTTCGGTCCGCAGCGCAAAAGCAACTCGGCGCAGCCACCGCGGTCGTTCCGTTTTCTCGAGCGGGGCCTCGGTGCTGCTCCGTCCGTCTCTCTGCTGTCGCTGCAGTCGGTAAATCACGGTGCCGGTGCTCTTCCTCTCCGCTCGTCGTCGGTAGGGTGTGTGTGTGTGTGTGTGTGTGTGTGTTTGCGCGTTACTTGGCGGCGGTGAGCAGCGCTCTCATCGTTTTCATTCCGGAACGCTCTTCCTCCGTTTGGCTCCTCCGAGGCAGGCGGCGGGGACTCGGTCTGTGGCGGACTCTCGACTGCCTCCCGGTGACTCCGGTAGGGGCTCGGTGGTCCGTTAGGTCGTTGGTTGAGTTGCAGGTTGCTGACGTCAGAGCAGTGAGAAACAGAAGTGGGTGGCCGCGCTCCAGGTGGTGCCGCCTGCCGGCGCGTTGCGGTAGTTCACACAAACACGGGCGTGTACGGTTCATGATTTAAAGACATGAAACCCCGTTAACCTAAAAACTGAGCGTGCAAACAACAGATGTGACGCGATGGATGCAGGTGTGCGAGTAACTGCAAAAGGACGGGTGCTAAAAATACATTTGACAGACTCCGCAGCAATACATTCTGTAATTCTACAGAGAATCACACTATGGTTACATGACCTCAAGAAGTACATGTAACTCATTTGCATGCCCTCCTGGAATGTTATTGGCCTATGATTTGTATGTTATTTGATCATTGTAACCATAATCGATAAATTAACATCATAATGCGTATGCTGAAAAATGTTTAGCTCATTTGTCACGCACATTATTCATGTTAGCAGCAAGGCAAGATTTCAATTTGTTTTTCATTACCATAGTATTTGTTGCAGACACTCAATGTATTAAGTCTCTGAGTTCCGTCATTCCATGAGGACAAGGCTTTTGGTTGTGTGAAGTACACTCGCAAAAGCTTCTCTTCTCACAGCTTTAGCTGTATTTTGTGTTAAGGGGGAAATGACAAATGAGAGTATGCTATCCAGTAGCTATGCTATGCTATGGATAAACTGTTTCCTTGCTGCTAAGCATCAACATGTGAACATTAGTGTAGCATAACGTAGTCGACGGTAACCTTATGGAAGAGGAATTCATATGTTACAACTATGTACGTGAAGTCGCTGTTATGGTTTGTTTTCAAAAGACTTGTTTTTTCCCAGCTTGCAGACAGATGTTTGTCATCTCTGAAAATGAGTTTAAAAATTAAAAAAATTAAAAAAATTAAAAAATTCGACAGGCACTCAACGCGCAATCCTATTCATACGTTGCTTTGCTTATATACAAAACAACAATATTTCTAGTATATTTATTTTACTCCAAACAGTACTATAAATATCTATTTTCATCAAATTCTTTTTAATTAAAAATTAACTTTGTAGGTCCATGCAGCAGTGATACTCTGTGCTTAAATATTGTAGGTTTCCAGTGGGTTCAGAGGCCGTTTGGTTGAGTGTGAGGGCTCACATTTGCCCCCACCTACGAAACCCAAGACAGGCCATCTCCAACAAACACACTCACACAAGCTGAGCATACGCAGCCCTTCCTGCAGGACCTGCAAGAACTGGCAGTGAGCCAAAGTGAACAGTGACAGGAAGTCAAGCATTTGCTAACTAGTGTGGTAGCCACATCCTGGCGTGTTTTAACGGAAGTCTGTTTCGAAACCCAAACGGGTCAATGGGAGCATTCACTCTGTGCAGATCCTGTGCCATTGTGTCCATCCAAGCATATTAGAGAAAAGGCACTTCACCTCTACTGGAAGTTAATTACGACGTGTGAATGGCAGAGAGGTATGGGTGTTATTGTCTCATTCATCATCGTCCACCTTGACTGCAATTAATTCCTGACCCTCAGTGATGATGGTACAGGTGGGTTTATTTAACTGAATTAACTATTCACAACAATACTCCTTTCTCTTTTTCAGTCAACAGGTTTTTCAGTCAAATCTCATTCAAAAACCACCATTTTGGAGATTATTTTTGTTCATTAGCACCAGAGTGAATAGTGGGGGCGCTGGTGGTGCATGGAGTAGAGAGGATCTGCCAGAAACCGCAAGGTTGGCGCTTTGAACCCCGGCTGCTCCGTGTCCCATTTCGAAGTGTCCCTGGTTGTCCCTGCCGTGCACCTGGCTTGCTACTCACAATTATTTTAATCATTTCTGTCATAGGAATTGAATGTATGATACATCTTTTACATTGTTCATTCTGTACACATGGGGAGTTTTTCCTGTGCCGATGGAGGATTGCGATTTTAGACTATACAAGATAAAATTTATTGAATTGAATTCTTAAGAATGTATACACAGGGGACCTTGAATAGTCAGAGCAAAACTTCATAGAAACCTGTCCAATGGGCCATATCAAATATTTCTTCTGAACCTCAAAGTGTCCACCTCCGCCGGTGATGATCAACTGACCAACTGACTTCATCCAACAATCCATGGAGCTAAAAGAGCGATGACAAACAGAAGCAGTGACATCAACAACTTCACCCGTCTACCTGTGTACCAGCTGTCTCATCAGGGTAAATAGTAGGGGTGTAACGATTCATCCACTGAATCGATTAATTGATTTATATTCCTGCGATCCAACTGAATTGATCTGTGTTCAGCAAATCGGCATTCCGGACGACATATATCGATTACATATCGATTGAAATGGTGCATAATCGATTTGTATCGATACTTGGAAACATTGCACATTGGATTTAAGCACAAAAACGGTATGGATGTGTGTTTGTTTGTTGGTTTTTTAGCACTTTAGACACGTTAAACGTTACTCGATTCAGTCTGCCTGTCTGTGACGTCATCAGTACGCAGCGGCAGCCGCGCGAAACTCTGAACAACAACAAAACACAGCGTGGAGGAGACGACTGCGAGCGAGACATTTACAAACCAACTTATCGATCCAGCGTGTAGAAACATTTTGGCTTTTACAAACACGGAGGTGTTCTAAATAAGTCGGTCGCTGTTTATGGAATATGTAGAAGCCAAATAAAAAACCTATTAATTGTTGTTTGCTTGTTTATAATATCCATAATTAATTTAAACCTGATTTCCTTACAAGAAACAGGGATCTCAGAAACTTTGCCTGCACTTTCCAGTAAAGTTACTGAATCGATTTCAAGTCACTGAATCAAATCGAATCGAATCGTTCTAAATTAACCCAGATCGTCCATGAATCGAATCGGCAACCATGAATGAATGAATGAATTTTATTTATTCACACAATACCACTTGAAACATAATACAGCTGGGGAGGTACAAGATTAATTGGGTAAGGTGAATGGGTCCCCCAAAGAAGCTAAAGAAAAGCTTATGGGTGGGGGCCCATGATTCAATTTATAGTGGTAGCACAAAACTGTAAAGTACATAATTACCACAAATTTTAATGACTAGTTGCTCACGAGAGACACACCAGTACAAAACATTACATCACACATCCCAGTATTCCATGAAAAAACAGTTTTATATTAGATGTAGTTTGATAAGAAATATTTTTTTAATTGTCTTTTAAAGTTGGAGATATAGGGCAACACCTTGAGGCCATCGTCAATCCCGTTCCAAATTTGCGGCCCCCTACAGACCACACTCATACTAGCATGCACATGTCGGCGGCATTTTCCTGATATACATGGTTTGATTCTCGTATGGTAAGTGTGCTGGGGGCTGGTGATAGGAACAAGACTACTCAATCTGGAGTTCAGTCCGTTGACAATTTGGAACATAAGGCAAGCATTATGGTATGCGTTTAGCTCAGTTCAGGAATCAGGAATCAGGAAACATTTATTAGCCAAAATATGTCAAACATACAAGGAATTTGTCTTGGCGGTTAGTGCGCGACAGTAGACAGACAAGACAACAGTGCACAGGTAATAAAATAAAGTGGAAGTTAGTCTTAGTAGCTCAAAACGGTGGAATAAAGGTTTAGTGGGGGAATTTATCTCTGAGGATAGAGCCCGTATGACGTTCTTTTGCAAGGATATAAGTTTTTTGAGATGGCTGGTTAAAGTGTTACACCATATCACATTGCAATAGTTAAGGTGTGGTTCGAAGAGAGTTTTATATAAAGTGAGAAGTGCAGACCGAGGTAGAAAATGTCTGATCTTATAAAACAAGCTTACAGACAATTTATTTACAAGATACTCGATATGACATTTAAAGCTAAGAGAGTCGTCAATGAGGACCCCCAGGAATTTAGTGGAATACTCTTTTTATCTCCTGCCCATTTATCCTAATCAGGCAGTGATCAACGTTTTTATATTTCTTACATGATTTAAATAAAATGTAATTAGTTTGGCTCACATTTAATGACAGTTTATTACATTTGAACCAGTAGTCCACTTTAGTTAATTCATAGTTTACTATATCTTGTAGAATATATGGGTTCCTGTGTGACGTAATCAAGTTAGTGTCGTCTGCAAAAATAATTTTATGAAATATATTAGAGGAGTTTATGAAATTATTTATATATAAAATGAATAAGAGTGCCCCTTGAATTGATCCCTGGGGGACCCCACAGGTCATGGGCTGATAAGTGGAGTTGTGATCATTGACATGGACATACTGTTCCCTCTCATATAAATAACTTCTCAACCATTCTAGTGTTTGACCTCTGATACCATAGTGGTAGCGTTTATACAGTAAAATATCAAAGTCAATGGTATCAAAGGCTTTTGATAGGTCCAGGAAAATACCAACACCACATTTCCCTTCTTCAATGCAGTCATGTATTTGTTCTATTAGATCGAGTATTGCCATAGAGGTTGTACTCTTTTTCCTGAAACCATATTGAGAGGGAACAAGAATATCTAGTTTTTGAAGATAGCCACTGAGTCTGGTGTGTACCACTTTCTCCATTACTTTGGAGAAAGTGGGTAGAATTGATATGGGCCGATAATTGTTCATATCATTTCTGTCACCCGATTTAAAAATTGGAATTATTTTAGCAATTTTTGTCATTTTTGGTACAGTACCTGTAAGTAAAGAGAGGTTGATGCAGTGAGCCAGTGGCTCTACAATGACATTTGCAATCGCGATTCGAATCGAATCGTTGTTAAAATGAATCGTTACACCCCTAGTAAATAGTCTAAAAATAACCCTACTGGAAGCATTAGTTGAGCTGACAACCCATGGAATTGTGAGTGCAACTTTAAATACTTTCAACAGTAAATATTTGTAAAGTCAATGAAGGAAAACCATTTTGCAGCTATTTCAGAAGCCTCCCATTTCTGCACCATATACAGGATGTGGAGTGTTTTTTGTGTACCATGCACAATATTCACTGATATTAGACAGACAAAGAGCTGAAAGAGCTCAACACATTAGATGAGAAACTGCGTAGGCAGCAGCC